GCGTGTGCCACAAGTACTTTAAATAATTATTAGTTAATGTAATGCATTTTCTTAAAGCTTATCAAGTCAATAAATATGGGTGAAAAGTGAAATTTTAAATTCGCTTCGATTTTTATTTTTTAATTTTTTTATTATTATGTTTCTTTGTGTAAGTGTTTTGGGTTAATTAAATACTACATAAAACCTTTTTTTTTAGCAGATTATCAAAAATCAAAATTAAATTGTTTATGCTCGTACAAAAAGTAAAAAAAAGAAAATCAGAAAGTACACTTTTAAGTACTTTTAGGTACATTTTCTATTTTTATTGTTTAATTTTATTGACAGAAATGATTGCGGAAACGGTTTGGATGTCTTTAAATTTTCCATAACTCTCAAGCTTAATTCATTTGGAAAAATCTTTGTTTTGTTTAGTTAATTATTGTAATTTCTAATTGATTATGCTTGAAAGTTTGCCAAATGATCAATTTTTTATTCAAATTTGAAAATTGTTGTGATTCACTTACCTCGCCAACTATTTTAATTGGCGCATTTGCAGTTAGACAGAAGACGGAAAAAAGTTCCCAATTACGCAACAACCAAATACTTTTTATATGTGTTTTTTATGTTATGAGTAAGTGAGTTGTAAACTATCGCTGTCACTGAAGTAGGTTGATGTGAAAATATATAAAATATTTAAGCATAGGTGTGTGAGCATTAGGGTGAACATAAACAAAGTAGAACTACACAGTAAATGAAAAATATTTTATTTATTTTTACTTGGAAAATTCTTATTACTTATAACTTTTTTCCAAAAAAAAAAAATAATAATAATAATAAAATAGTAAATTTAGATCAAAATTACCTACTTCTTTTAACAAATCGTTGGAAAATTGAAATAAAATTCAATGTTATTGTAATGTATTTATTTTAATTTTTTTGCGCAACTTAAAAAGAATCTTACAAGCCGAGCGCTTTTGAAATATAAAAACAAATTTAAAATTTTTTAATTTATATATACTGGATATATATATTTGGCTTTTTGTAACCGGTTTGGCTCCTCCTCCGGGTTGTGGTTTTGATATTTCTCCAACCAATGGAGGGGTCTATAGTTTATACCAACCCGCCTCCGAGCTGATGTTTTTCTTTAACGAGGAGCTTTATTTTTATGTCAAAAATACACTCGGCGGACAGTGGTTCCCTCCCAGCAATTAGAAAGTTTATCTTAATTTTTTATTTAAATAAATTTTCGATAACTTTTTGTGTGTTAGTACGACACCAGGATTTGAACCCTAGCAATGCTAACCACTCGGCTACCGCTACCGCCAAAACTTTCATTTAGTTTTAATTAACCAAAAATTAAATTTTAATTATTTTTATTTTATTTTTCTGCAACACTTTTGTATACAATTCTGTGTTTTTGTATTCGTATATATTTTTTCAAAAATTGTAAAAAAATATGAGATAATTTTCTAAATAAGAACCAAAAAAAAATTTTAATGCTAGAAATATGTAAGATTTTAATGAAATAGTAAAAACCTTCTCTCTTAAAACTAAAATCTTTTCTTAAGAATTCTTTTGAAAGACATTTCTTTTAATTTGTTTTAATTGCTTTTTCCAATAAATATTCAGGCACATATGCGTATAGTAAATATGTACAAACTTATGTATGTATACATATTAATATTGTAATAAAATAATAATTTGAATAATAAAAATTTCGTTTCGAGAGAGAAAAGTTAGGTTAGAATTTAAAAAAAAAAAAATTCTTCCAAAACTATTTATTTAGTTAAAGCTTTGCTACATTTTATTAACGGCATGCATTAATACATTTTTTTTTATTTGCGACTGTGCCACTTTAAGGCTTATATACTTATTAATAATACATATTCATCGCGCATATTTGGTACAAAACAATCGATGCTTCAAACACACCTTTCAGACTGGTGCCATGCTCACCAGTGTCATCGCCCACAAGTCGAAAGCTGTAGCAACATATGTAACAATGCAATTGAAATGTTAGTTTTAAAACAAAAATATATAAAATGAACGAAAAAATTAAATTTGTTATTGCAAAAACCCCAGCGACGAAGGTCTTTCAATCTCTCTGGTGCCACCTACGGTGTTAATGCCTAAAATTTTCGCATTAAACTAGTGCCATTATAATGTAATATTAATTTTTTTAAATTATTAAAATAGTGCATACATATGTAAATAGATATGTATATAGTCAAGTGCATACACGTATGTACTATGCGTGCCTTAGTGCTTTATATTTTAAGTATTTTCCTGCATCGCCAACACAAAACTTCCTTATGAACTTTTCGCTTGTCAACTTCAAATAAAAAATAATAAAAATAATTTAAAAAAAATTTAATTTAAATATGAAATACATATAAACATGTGTGTGTGTGTGCAGTTCTTATACATGACATTGTCAAACATCCAAACCATAGTTGAAAGCCTCATAGCCCTCTAATGGACAATTAAGTGTTTACCTCTGCTAATTACCTAACTAACCATTGCAACTACCAACGGGGGAATTTTACTTTTGTTCATTTTTTTCTTTTCAATTCCATTTTACCTTTCTTACAGTCGCCTTCGAAGCCATCCCATTGTCAATTGGCTGCTGTTATTTTGGTGTTAACAACGTTATTTAATTTTGACCGATACATACTGCTTGCCCGTCAAAGCATTCCGTTACTTTCTCTCTCATTCACCCCGACAAAACGACACTTTCATGCCGCAAAAAAATTCCAAAAAAAAAGTTCAAAAATACAACAAACACTTTTTGGTTTTCAGTTCGCGCTGAAAATGCTCATATCAATGGAATAACAACCTGTAACAATTAACGAGTTTGTTCAAATGTTAAGTGTTCAAATCACGTAATAATCATACCGTTATATATATACATATATGTACATAATGATCCGTGCACTGAGGTGTAATGTCATCATAGCCTGTTTGGCGTAAAGGCATAAAATGTACATAAAAAAGTTTAGGCAAAATGAGACGGGAAATTACTTCATTTCCAAATACTCAAATACTCGTATTCACCTGACCTCAGAGCCTTTTTCGGTAGGCGAAATGAAGAGGTGGTTAGTGGTACAGGGCATATATTGTATATGCTGGGGTCGAGTCTGGATAGGTAGGAGTTTAACCGGCTACATTATCCAGACCTAAGTTGTGCCAAGGTCACGCGGATCTCTTGAGGCAGCTCGAGCTTGTTGTCTACAATGGATGGTGGTTTTTCTCCGAGCACGCCATTCACGGGAAGGGTGTCTTTGAAGGTGTTGACTGACTCCTGGTGAATGGCGTTCGGTGCCTGTCTATACGCCATCCTTTCCAACGGTTGTTGTACGTATTGCTGGATAGTTATTATCATATTGAGTACTGCCTTTCTGAAGTGTCTAGGATGGGGTTCCCTGCGGTAGCGATTGCTTGCACAGCAAAGGATTATGCTCCTTAACCCCTAGCATAGATGCTTCACTGTGCAAGTATTGCTTCGGCGACATCAGGAAGTTTCTTGTCTCGGTCCTGAGGGCGATGTTCTGGCAAGCCTGTAGCTTTTTCATCTACGTCTCGTTCGTCCACGGCGCTCAGATCAGTTTACGACCGGCTGGCCAAATGCTTTGTAAGTTGCCAGCAAAGTTTCTTTATCCTTACCCCAGGTGCTGCCGTCAAGCGTATTTTGTTGCGGCTCTAGAGTTTTGCGGCAATTGCGTTCGTATGCGGAGTGAAGGAGTCCAGGCTTCTTCTAGTGTTATTCCCAATATCTTTGAGTTTGTCCAGCTGGTGAAAAGGGTAGCCGAGGTAGTACACTTTCGAGAAGAGGTCATCAATACGCTGGGCAGCCGCCATTATCGTGCAATCATTGGCATACGAGGTTAGGGAAACTCCTTCTGGTAGAGGAATATTACCGATAATTGTTGACCACTCAGGTAGCCCTTGACCTTCCTCTGCAACGCTGGCGGTAAAGAGGATTCCTCAATATCCGTTTATAGCACTGAATGGTTGACGGTGTCAAAAGATTTCGACAGATCTAGTTCTACCAGGACAGCTCCCGCGCAGAGTCGGTTATGATTAAGGTCATTGATTATCTGAGTGATTATGGCGTTTAGTTCTGTTGTAGTACTGTGCACTTTGCGGAAGCCATGCTGATGTGCTGCTGGTCGCAGATGAGTAAAGGTCGGTAACAGCAAGGCTTCAAGTGTCTTCGATACTGCGGAGAAGAGAGTTATCGGCCGATAAGTCTCCTTTGTTGGCTGGTTTCCCCGGTTTGAGTAGTGGGACCACACTGCCCGTTTTCCACACGTCAGGTATCATTAGGGTGGTCAAAGACAAGTTCAGGACCTTGGTGAGGAGGTCTGCTCCCGCTCGTCCAAGATGTTTTAGCATCAGCATGCTTATTCCGTCGAGGCCGATTGACTTGGAGGCTTTCGCCTTCCCGATAACCCCCTAAACCTTTTCCCTGGAGTTGGTGTATACGACGGGAACCCGTCGTTTCGTTTTGTCTATCGTAGGGCACAGTATAAAAAGTCGTGCACCTAACCGAAGTAGAGTCTTTTCTGGCAGATACAGCAGAAAAAATCGGTCGGACCAGGGTTGGTTTAAACGCCAGCTCTGATAAAAGGATTTGGAGCAACCCAGCTGCGAGGTGTTGCCTCTTTGGTGATCTTAAATTAATGTAACTTGTTAACCTAAACGGGGTTAGGTCGCCGAAAGGGTGGCACCCCGTGGCCGGATAAAATCAGGGTCAACTCCGGTGCGTAGAACCGACTGTCTTGAGAGTTGACTCCTTCCAGCTAATCATCTGTGATGATATTGGCCTGGCCGTATATAAGAATGTAGATCTAAATCTGTATTACCATTAGCCAAAAAACTGTTGCTTCCATTAATTAATTTTTTTCGAATAATTCATATATGTACATATGTATGAATGTATTAATATAATTTTTGTATTCAATCAAATAAATTATACTTCTTAAAAATTTGTTTAAAACAAATCAAAAGAAATAAAGAAATTAAATTAATAAGGTATATATTACATAGATGTACAGTTAAATTGTGATATTTATATGCGCGTTTAAATAAAATTTTTAATTCTACTTAGGGTATAGACGCGAAACCACACATTATTCCCCTTTGATTTAAGAACCAGCAATTCAGTCAAAGCATCGCAGTGACTTAATTCCATTAGTATGATCAGCGCGCTTGGTTAAACGGGTTCTCTGGTGATTTGTTCCATTCTTTCATTAGAATTTGTTTCCATTGCGTTAGACGAAGTGAAGGATTTTCCGCCTTGATACGTGGCATATTAGCTGACTCGAATGCCTTATAGGCAGCACGCATACGCTTTTCAGGATGTTTGTCTTCCTCATCACCCTTCACGCTAAATGAATAATTAATGAAAATACAATAATGTAAACATAAGTAAAGAGAATTTCCAACAAACTTTATAAATTACCTTAAGGCCGCCAAAGCCTGATCGACATTTGTAGCTATTTCCACATCAGCCATGGAGCGGTTGAGATTTTCTTCAATTACTGGTTCGGGCACAACAATACGTGCACCCACTTGTGGCTTAGCAGCATTTATGGCATCAATGGCACGCTGTTTCTTTTCTAATTCTTCCAATATTTGTTGACGGTGGATTTTCGCAAGAGGCTGCTTACCTTGCGTCTTAATGGAGGACATTTCTTGATCAAGCAGTGCCTAAGGAAATTGAATTAAATGCACCATAAATATAAACATAAACTGCATTTTACTGTATACTTTTGCCTCATTCTTTCGCCGCAAAGCCTCAACCCGCTTCCTTTCTTCCTCCTCACGACGTTGTTGCTTCTTTGCTAAATTTTTATCATTGTCTTGCCACAGGCGATCTTCAGCCTCCTTTGCTGCACGTACATTATTGGCCTGTTTCACTGCCTGCTTTCGTTCACGCGCCTCCACCGCCTTCGAATTAGTTCCCATTTTCTTTGGCATTTTTTAATATTATTTATAATTTTCCTGCAGATATTGTTTATTTTAATTGCTGAAGCACCGTAATTTCGCGAAACTACAATTTTTTGACATTTCCAAAAGTAGCTATTCAGAGTTGGAAAGCATTGAAATAAGTGCATACAACTTCGAGTCGTTTTCCAGCACTGCATTGAAAAGTCAGCTGTTTATACAAAAGTCATTTGAACGATAAACAAAATTTTATCAAAACACAAAAAGTGTTTGTGTGTGAAACTAAAATATTTACGAAATGGACATAATAAAAGCTGAAATTGCGAGGAAACGAAAATTGCTTGAAGATAAACAGCTTGTGGATGATAAGAAAAAATATTTTAAGCGCGGTGAATTAATAGCAAAGAATACGGAGGAAATTTTACAGAAAGTGGGCTACAAGAAACAAGAAAGTCGCGAAGAGGATCAGGCACCTGAAGGGCATTATAGTTATGTATCCGAAGGACAAAATATTCTGCCTCGCGCTGAAGTTGTAAGACGTTTGCGTGAACGCGGTGAGCCTATACTTATTTTCGGCGAAACTGAAGCGGATGCTTTTCATCGTTTGCGTCAATGCGAAATTTCGCAACCTGAAACCAATCGTGGATTCCGTAATGATTTCCAGGAAGCCATGGAACAAGTAGATCAAGCATATTTGCAGGAAATGTTTGCGAATGCACCTACTGCTAAGGAGGAACAAAAGTCGGATCTGGCGGAACTGGACGAAACGGTCTCGTGGGAAAGCATCAAAGCGAGTGCAATTAAAATGGGTCGAGGAAACAAAGAATACGATATGGATGTCATTATTACTTTGCTTACCTTCTTGCTAAAAATGTGGAATGACCAAATCGCTTCATATTCCAAACAGGAAAAAATGTCCACTAAAACTAAAATGGCACGTGTAATCTTTACGCAAACGCGTGAATATGTGAAACCTTTATTTCGTAAGCTAAAACATCACACGTTGCCGGAGGACATTTTAGATAGTTTGCGAGACATTTGTAAACACCTGCTTAATCGGGATTATATAACAGCTAGCGACGCTTACCTAGAGATGGCCATAGGCAACGCTCCTTGGCCCATTGGTGTCACTATGGTGGGTATTCACGCACGTACAGGACGCGAAAAAATTTTCTCCAAGAACGTGGCTCATGTAATGAATGACGAAACACAACGGAAGTACATACAGGGATTGAAACGTCTAATGACGAAATGCCAAGAGTATTTCCCCACCGACCCCTCGAAATGTGTCGAGTATGTAAGCAAAAAGGATCGTACAGATTGAGGACAGCAACAAATTATTTATTAACTTTTCTAATAAGTAAGATTAGTTATACACACATAATTACATATTTATTATAAGGCTTAATAAATCTTTAGACTACATGTTTGTCACAAATGCTCGTATTTTATTGGAAACTTTTAGCGTGGGGTCAAATTCCTTTACTTTTTTCCCAGCTCGGCTGCGCGTTCACTTGATTTTTCTACGGCGTTCATGATAGTTGCTCTGAAAATGGATGTCAATTACAAATTACTTCTCAGAATCATGATCTATGTATGTATTTAAGAGTAATGAAAAATGTTCCATAAATTTAAGGAACTATCATTCAACAGTTAATAAAATTTTAATTTGCTCTGTATAATATTCTATTAGGTCACAAAAAAGTTCACCAAGTATATTTCTGACAATATTGACATTAAAGTGTTTTACCGTAATTGACCCTTCTCCAGTTCATGTACACCCACAATAGTTGCACCACCAGGTGAGCAAACCTTCAAAAGATTAAAAAACAAAATACTTATATTTCATTTTTGAAATAAAAATGTATGTATGTATTATACCTCATCCCTTAGCACAGCTGGGTGTTTGCCAGTTAATAGCACCATTTTAGCAGCACCCAGTAACATTTGCGCCGCGAATTGTTGTGCCATTTGTCTAGGCACGCCTTGCTTAACCCCGCCATCAGCCAAGGCTTCAATTATAGTATAAACAAATGCTGGCCCACAACCTGCTACACCTGAAACAGCATCTATCATTGTTTCGGGCACTTGCTGTGCAATGCCCAACGAGTTAAGCATTAAATGCAGTTTCTCTAAATCTTGCTGTTTTACATAGGAACCTGGTGAGTACACAGTTATACCTTCACCAATTTGCATTGGAGTGTTAGGCATTGTTCGTATCATCTTCAAACCTTCCACAAAAGAGAATTTCTGAAATGATTTACACATATAAAAAAGTACATACATACATAATGTACATTCATTTTCAATATCATACCTCCTCAAGAGTCTTCAGCTTTACTCCAGCCAACACGGAGACAAAAAGCTTGTCCTTATCTTTTAAAGTCGGCGAATGCAGATTACGTAGCTGGGCAGCCATTGGTGTAAGTATGTGTGGTTTCACACATATAAATATAATATCGGCTTTGTCCAACACTTCATAATTATCATCTGTAGTTGCAATGCCCAAATCACGCCAGCGTCCTAGATTTTCTATATTTGGTCCTGAAACGAGTACCTGTGAGGTTTTTACGAATTCGCGATTTATAAGTCCAGAGCCAATGGCAAAGGCCATATTGCCACCACCGATAAAGCCGATTTTCTCGTCCAATTTCGCCATTAGAGTATGGTAGAGCACTTTAAAGGGCTGAGGGTTATCTAGAGTAATATTTTAATGCGAATATAAGCAAATGATAACAGATGCTATTGATTGATTAAATGCTAATGATTTTCCAGAACACAATATGGGTTTTGCTACAATACTTTTATTGCCTATCTGCTAATTTCTTTTTCTTATTATATTTTCGTTTGGCAATGATTATTTTTCTTGTTTGTTTTCATTATAATTCTGTTTTATCTTACACGTATATTATGGTTTTTTATCACTTTTTTATCACAACGCTCCGTGTGTACGCAAGTTGTTTTCCGTACCGGCTGTGGTTTTTCTGATTACTTTACGTAATGAAAATTTAATATTGCCAGATTTTTATTGCTAAAAATGTTTGCCACAATTCTCGAAATTTTATTAACAATGTAATAATCAGTTCTTACAACATTTTCTATAATAAAATCGGGTCATAACGTTGAAATCACTAGTAATCAAGACTGATTATGTCCTTTATTTAATGTAACAAAGTTTCACCGCTGCAATTCGAACAAACAGTTTTGGTGAGTTTTTACTAGCGCCATCTATTTTTTATTAGCGCAACTGATTGTGGGTGTTGTAAACGCTGAAAAGCGAAAAGAAAAGATTACTTTTTTGTTTAATATTTTAGCACCTTTAGTTTAAAAATATTATGAAGTTTATAAAAAAAACAGTTTTTGTGTTAACTTTAAATAAAAAGAAATAAAAAAAAATAAGAAAAAAAGTGTAGGAGCTTAAAAGGGAAACAGGACATATTTGCAGTCGAAAATGGAGTAAGTATGAATAACTAAGCTGAAATACAAGATTAATGCCCGAAAACTCTACGAAAAGATGCGACGATTCACAGATAATGGAGTGCTCCATGTCCAGAGTATTCTAGCCAGCAGAATGGCTGTGCAACACTCGAGGATGATGAACACGAAACCACAATCGATGAGTATAGAAAATACGTTCTATTATCCGACTATGACAAGGTTCGAGCAGCGAAAGAACAAAAAATTGCTGGAGCTGAGCAGGCTTACCAGCAGAGCTATTCAAGCATGGCGATGAAGAGCTGATAAGTTGGTTGCATCAGCTTATTTGCATAATGTGCTCGGGCGAAAGCATAACCGTTGTTTGGAAATGAAATTTTCTCAGCAAAATTCATAAAAAATTATCTTAAATATCGCATATGAGATCGATATATCGATCGTGACGTATGAAAGTCTAAATACTACCTTCAATGCACTAACTGATGTCTATATAGGGGCCAGCATTAACGCCAAAGATATTGTGAGCCTTGAAATCAATCGGAGATTCACTGTGACGAGCAATCGTTACTTTGGAAAAAAAAGAGAGACAGTGGCTACTCTAGACTGCGTCGTTTGAATAAATAAATGCTCTCCGGCGGCATCCGCTAGTGGATGCAACGTAAGAGTCAGGTGGACAGCGCCAAGTCACTCGATATTTGCAAGGGAGTGATACCAAGCGGAAGAAGAAGAGTTGGTAGTAAAATTTACTTTCCTTACATTTCACGATTTAATGATTTTTGGAGCTGAAATTATATTTGCTTTTGCTTTAATTTATTCTGCATGAAAGTCATCAAAAGTGGAGCACTACGTGTGTGCAAACAAACATTTGTACATATAATTCTTAAAATTTGCAGTAGGATATATTTATGTACATCCGCCGGTAATACGCCGCAGTAACGGTGTGGTTAGCAGTACGTGCTACTATAGGGAAGGTCATGGGTTCGAGTCTCAGCCATGCCCAAAACTAAGAAGGAATTTATTCTTAAAAACAGCAGGAGCTCGGCCAAAACTGGCTTCGGATTTAAAATTGAGAAGAACTTCTTTTCCTTTGCTTTTTGTACAATAACAATAGCGAGTTGCTTGAACAATTTCAAAGTTGATTGAATTAACTGATTGTTTGACATTTATTCATAACAATTGTTGATATTTTAAGAGATAATTTGCTCTTGGAAGCGGTGTCGATATCACGTATTGAGGAATAAGTAAAAACTTTAATACCGAGACGTGTTTGGATAGTGAAAGTCGCCTAAACGAAAGCGAAACAGAAATTCATTTTATAACTTAAAACTGAAACTGAAAAGTAGTAACTAATAAGTCAAAAAATTCAGAGAAAAAAGCAGAAATATATTTTTTTTCTGCCGTAGACACCGCTTGAGCGATTAAAGCCCAGCTTTTTGACGCCAATTAGAAGTACCAAGTACAGACAGGTCTTATCTCACCTGATTTCTTTAACGGAGTAGAAATCTTCCTCTTTCTTCGCTTCCACCGACGGCTGCAATATTCGCCTTTGCCAATGCAGAGAGGACCTTAAGTCTTACGCAAAACATTTCTCCCAGGAATCCCCAACACCGACTCATCAAACGCTGTCATTCTTCATGGGCCCGCCCCATATAGCTAAAAGGGAATGAAGAGGGACTTGTAGAGTTTGGTTTTTGTTCGTCGAGAGATTAATTTTCAATTGCCTGTTCATGACAAACTAAATATATCCTGTTGGCAAAGGTGATTCTTAGCATTACAAGACTGACATTGTTGTTGGTTTTCATGTCGGTACCAACCTAGGTTAAGTTAATTACAACTTCATAGTTGTGACTATCAACAGTGACGTGCGAGCGAGGAGATATTTTGTCCAACCTTTGTCCTCTACCAGATCCGTACGCTTCGCTTCCTTATCCAGTCTGCGTACGCCAGCAGCAGAAGATTTTACCTTCTCTATTCAGCTCTACGGTTCAAATTACTTTCTTCTGCAATAAATTAAATAAGTCACATATACGGAATAACCCTGTATGAAGCCTCGTTTGGTATGGAACAACTTGGAGAGGTCCTTCGCAATCCTGACGGAGCTTTTGATGTTGCTGAACGTCAGTTTGCGGCGACAGCGAGTTCAAACAAAGCTCATGCTTTTGAAGGCTGCTTTAAAATTGACGAAGAAATGGTCTTTTCATCGGTCAAGGTGTGGCTTATGGTGTATATATATTACCAATGATAAATTTACCGGTTATAAGGATGTACTGATAAGGTCCTGCTAATTGTTGAGGGTGTGCTTCAGTCTTTCTCAGAATAGCTCGGCAATCGTCAGGTATGCCTTCATCCGACCAAATTCTGCAAAGAAGCTGATCCAGTTCTCCGCCACTATATTTGAATAGCCTGGACGACGCTTCCTCGGCCTTCGATTCTCAAGCGGGCGACTGCTATACGAACTTCTTCATAGTCAGGCAATGAAACATCTGGTCCATCATCATCAATTGGGGGAAACGGGTTCTTTATCTCCTGGTGTTCAACTTTCACTGCCATTCAGCAGACTAGAGAAGTGGTCCCTCTTAGAAGAGTTTGCTCCGGCCGTACATACCTCGCTCAACTTCGTTAAATTTTACTGTAATTCACGGGCATGTATGTACATGTGTATGAACTCATAACTTTTTTTTTAGTGAAGCAAACAGTCAGCGCTGCTACTATTGTGGCTTGCGGCTTGCGGCTACTCAGCAATTAACAACTATAAGAAAATTCAAAATTAAAAGGTGAAAAAAATCGGCGCATGCAAGCAACGAAGCGAACGCTAATGGCGAATGAGGGAGCGCTTTAAGCGTTTACTAGGCGCATGCGTGCCGCTGATATGGATTCGCTACTTCGTTGCACAGGCTGCTTGAGGATAGGTACATGTACATGTATGTATGTATGTATGTATATGCTCAGGTTGTTGTACGCATTTTGATTTATTTAGCCTCTTTGTTGGCGTAGGCAAGGCTTATCGCGATTATGGCTGCAGTAAGTTATTACATACATATATTTTTATATACATACATACGAGTATGTGCTATATTCACTCTGCAACGCAACACAAGGCAACGCAACGGAACGGTGGGCATGTTTGCAACTTTTTTCGAACTCTTTTACTAATTTTTCTTTCATAACCCTTGCTTCAATGCACAACACGTTAACTAAGCCCGGTGCAAGCATAACTACGTCTGCGCATCAGCCTCAAACGCAGCGCAGTGCCGATGTTTATGTTGCAATGAATTGATTTTTTCGGCCTACTCCATGTGGATCTGTTGGCGCTTGCTTGGTTCGTGCGCGCGTGAGTCTTAAGAGCTCATCTCGCTTTGATGCATCACAGAGGGGTCTCTTCAGTTAACACGTACGTACATACATTCACACAAATCAACAACATACCACAGCAAGGGCGTCTGGGCGAACGGGCATATAATGGTGTGTACATACATACATAAATAAATACATAGTTAATAGCTCCCTGTTGGTCTCATATCAGCGTTCAACTCTTCTCATTTCTACCTGAATTTACTTTATTTGCTCAATTTGCTTTTCATCACAAACATTAAAAATGGAAAGTAATTGCGTGTCATTTGCTATTATTGCGTGTGAATAGATGGGAAAACGTATGTGCGAGTCTGCACATATATGTATGTACGTATGTTTGACATGTGTTTTTATGCTTTCATATTTTATTTGGGGCTTGCTGCTTTTCTTCATCACGCGTACTTGCGCGGGTGGCGAGTTAATGGCATCAACAGATCTAGAGTTGCCAGGCACCCGTTTAAATGCAAGTAAAAACTTGCTTCTTTTTCTTTATACTTGAAGTAGGCGTCGCTTACTCGATTATAACCAAGTCAACAACATGTATATATATAATATATAAGTAAATATGTATTATATAATTATTTTTATATTTATTTGGCGCTTCGGCAGAACCCTGTTCCAGTTTGTGCAGAATTTCTGCATGTTTTTCTACAATTGGAGGCGCTTTCAGTTTATTCTAGGTAGGTAAGGATGTTGAAGTAATTACCGGGAATCACCAAAACTTCCTATTGTATATCCCACCCGCTAATCAAACCAATATGCAGAGTTTGCAAACTGAGCAATCTTTGTATTCTTGCTTCCGCAATCTCACCCAAGGCTCTGAGGTCTCCGAACCTATAGATTTCAACTTACTTTTCCAAAGTGTGGAATCATGCTCCTCTTCTTGTCTGTAACTTCTGCAGTAGTCATTAGCTGTCTGCCTATTAGAACATGCCCTGTAAGAAGACCTATAACCGTAGACATCTTCTTCCGTTTTCAGCGCTATAAGATCTCATGGTCCTTTATCGAACTTTATCCCGTGTGGAACACTTTGCCCTGGTCACATTAGATGCCTTGAGTTTTCGTCATCTTCAGTTAGCATTTTTGATTAATAACTCTCCTAAAGTGAGCTTGCAAGTGATGAGCGGCATACATAAATAAAACCATGAAAGTGGAACGGAAGTGCTCTTTTTCTGCAAATTCATCCGCTATCTCAACACCCTGAATTTTGCTCTGTACAGACA